AGCACCCGTATAACGGTACCTCCCGATATTCGGCATTTTAATGGTTTTTGCCACATTTCTTCGCAAATTTGTCTAAAAGTTGGTATTTGTTGGTCTTAATGGGTTCTAGCTCTTTTGGCGAAACACTGTATGTATAGGTCCACGTTTTTGTATAGCCTCATATAGCCGTATTTCCCGATATTCGGAATTTTGATAATTTTTGGCACATTTTCCCATGAATATGTCTAAAAATTGGTATAAGTGGGTCATAATGGGCTCTAATGTTTCCTTTACCCTAAGGTGGAGGGTATTCAAAGTTTGGCCCGGCCGAACTTAATCTTGTTTACTTGTTTCTCCTTAACATTATTATAAGAAGCTCTCGTGTGCAGTTTTTTTTTCAAAAAAAAAAAAAAAAAAAAAAAAAAAAAACATTTATATTTCTTCATATTTGTTGTATTTTAGTTTTCGATTTGTTGCTGTATTATTTAGTATTCAACCTTCTTACAATGTTGTCGGAACTTTTAACACTGTTATGTTTTTTTTTTTTTTTTTTTTTTTTTTTTTTTTGCCTTCTTTCTCTTTTTAGTTATACTTTATGTCGAGGAAAGAGATAAGCTTCAAAATTGAAAATATGGTCTCTAGAGAGAAGGGGATTTTGCCTACAATCCCTTGTCATGTGTCGTAAATGTCACAAATGTGTGTATTTGACATACCATATTTGCTGTCTATTTGTATTCTACCAAAAGCTTAGCATTATTTGTTTGTTTCTTTCTTCTCCGCTCAACCAGAAAAAGGGGGCTTATAGTTTTTGCTTTATGTACTTGCTGCTGCTATATATCACACGCTTATTGGAAACCTAATAACTAACAACATCACCCAATAAACAACACCCGTAGAACCCATGAAACCCCGCCACCTACCTCCCACCCTTTTCATACATTGCATTCACGTGCTTCGTCTCGAAACACTTCTTGAATAACAACCTCCATCACCTTTTACTAAGTTGTCTTCCAACACACATCATGTCTTAAACGAACGATGTGTGTTCGTATGTAGTATGTAAATATATATTTGCTATATGTTGGTAAATCTAATAAAAGTTATTGGAAAATATATAAAAAAAAAAAACAGAATGAGGATAATACGACTGGAGACGGCAACTTTATCTACCACCTTTATAAGGCTAGAGAGGAGCTCCCACAAGAAGTTCGTAACAAGTATTTTTTACTAACGTATATAAATCATTGAAAATAAGTTGTTGTATGTTATTTTTAGTTTAAGAAGCTTTGCATATTATAAATTAAAAAAAAAATAAAATAACAAATGAAAAAGGGTTATCTCAAGGATATCAAGGATGATATCAAATAACGAAAATAATTATAATTTTGGAAAAGATATAATATCTTGTGGGAGACATCAAGGGAGAGGACTTAAAAAAAAAAACTTTTCTATAAACAGAAGACAGTAGGAAGAAAGTAATCTAAAATGAGTGACTCCAAGATATTTTCGCGGAATTAAATCCTATAAACTGTTTGGAATTTTAATTCACTCTGAGTTTGCTACTTTGTACGGGGTATGCATTTAAACTATGGAACTTCTTCTACCCAAATTTCGATTTTGCCAATAGCTGTACAATCTCAGTCAATGACATTATTTCCAGATTTTATTTAATTTTAGTATCGTAGATTAAACCAAATTTCTATCTCATTTATAATACCCTCAACCATATGGCTATAGAGGTTATATCATTTGATACGGCCAGCATGTTCCTCATCGAAATAACGGTTTCAGACCACAGGTTTCTTTGGACCAAATCCGTTTCACAACATTTGGAGTCGACCTAGTAATGTCCGTCCGTCTGGCTGGCGCGCACAATAACTGTAAAAGGGAGTATCCGATTTGGTCCAAATTTGGTACATCGTAATATTATTATCAAACTTATATGGGATTCGGAGATGGGCAATATCAATCCACTCCTACTGAAATATACATCAAAAAAGGTTGAGATTACAAAAAAAAAAAAAAAAAAAACAAGTTAAAAAGTATCAGTCGGTTCTGCCGACAGACATATACCCTCAGCCAATGTTCGATTATTTAAATATATTTTGACTCCTGTTATGATTATTCAAACTCTTGAACCTCTATGGAGTGGGTTCTGAAGGAATGGGCCAAGAGGATCCATTTCATATCGGACCTAAATAAATACAATATAAATATTGCGACGTGCCAGGTTTGATAAGTTCTTGGTTGAGAGAAATTTTTAGATATAGCAAATTCTAAGGAATTGCTGACTTGTTTCGTAAATTATGACAGATAAAAGTATTAAGAATTGTGCCTCTTTGTGGATGAGGTACCAGAGAAGGGGTTCGCGGCTATATATCATCTTCACAACAGATCTTGTGTTAGCAAAAATGTTTGGATATGTGAAATTTGAACAGAGTTGAATGCTTATTAGGCTTACTTTGAGAATAAGGTTTCTCAAAATCTTGAACCCTATGTGGGGAGGTACCAGAAGAAATTGTCCAATTTCTACCATATTTATAACAAATCTTGTGTTGATAGTATGGAATGGAATCGGATGTAATTAACATCCGAATATCCGCGTTTTATGAGCTCCATGGATATTCAAAAATTTGACCTTTTGTGGGGGAGGTACCAGGAGCAGTGCACCGATAAATCCCATCTTCACAGCAGATCTTGTGTTAGTAGAAAAAAAGGAATGTGTGAAATATGAACTGAACCGGATGCTTACTTCGGATTTATAATATTTTTGGTTATTCAACATTTTAACCCTTTGTGGGGGAGGTACCAGAAGGACTGGTTCGATCTCTACCATCTTTATCACAGATCTTGTGTTGATGGAAATATTGAGATGTACCAAGTCTGAATGGAATCTGATGTTAAATGCACGTTTTATAAGCTTCATTGATATTCAAAATTTTGACCCTTTGTGGGGGAGGTACCAGAAGGAGTGGGCCGATATATTCCATCTTCACACCAGACATTGGGTTAATAAAACTATTGTGATCGGTATAATTTGAGGACAATCGGACTCTTACATCCCATTTGAGTTATAATTATTCAAAATTTCGACACTTTGTGGGCGGGGTACTTGATGAAGTGGACCGATATTGTCCATTTTCTCACTTGACCTAGCACTGATGCAAATAGTAAGATTTGCAAAGTTGGAGCAAAATCGGATTATCCTTTCTCTTTCTGTGCAGCAAAATATTTTTTGAAAATTTCGACTGTTTGTGGGCGAGGTACTAGAAGTAGTGGACCAATATTGCTCACCTCCGAACTCGATCTATGTTTGATAACAATATTCTGGAACAAATCGGAAGTATTTGAGAGTTATCGCACCAGAGAGAGAGAGAAAGAGAGAGAGAGTGCGAAAGAGTGCGCACCAGCCAGACAGACGGACAGACGGTCGATGTAAACTTTCAAAACGCCGATACACAATTTATGTTTTAGTCACATTTTTTGGCTGTAGAATTTGGCTCCTTGAATTTTCTGTATGTAGGAAACATCTGTGCAAAGAACTGTCTATATACATCCAAGTTTAGGTAATGTCAGCACACAACAGTACCTCCACTGATATTCAGTTTTTTTTTTTTTTTTTTTTTTGATTTTGTCACATTTCACCGCAGTTGTAACAAAATAGGTATTTGGATTTCGTACATCTACTACCTCCGCTGACAGAAAATTGCTTACATAGATCAATATTTTCTATATTCGTTATTTTCATTATTTTAGCTATACCTTTGCACGGAATTATTTCAAGTTTAGAATTTGCACTGTGTATTTCTTCCTATGACAGAAAATTGCCTGTGCAGATCCGCGTATTCCTATAGCTCCCATATAACGGTATCTCCCACTATTCGGTATTTGATGATTTTAGCTACGTTTTTCAAAAGAATTATCTCAAGCTTGGTATTTTGAGTTTCATCGATAAAAATTTGTTCAAGCTTTTTATTCAAAAACAACCAGAGAAAATTATTCCTTAAAAAAAGTAAAAAAGCTATAATTTCGGCCGGGCCGAACTTTGAATACCCTCCAACATTTGGAACGAATTTGACAACTTTCCAAAAATAAAATCCCTTAAAAATTCCGAATACTGTCATTATATGTATATAGCCGGACCATTACAATATTCAAATGCGAAACTTGAAAAAAATCGGTGAATAATGTAGCTAAAATCATCGACATACTGAATATAGGGAGGCAACCGTTATATTGGGGCTATACGGAGACGTGGACACCTACACAGACAATTTTCTGTAATGGCTTATGACAAAAGTTGCCTGTGCAGGTCCACGTCGTCGTATAGACCCTAATATAATGGTTGCATTCGGTATTTTTAGGATTTTAACAGAATTTTTAACTGATTTTATTTTTTGGAAAATTGCAAATTCGTTCTAAATGGTGGAGGGTATTCAAAATTACAGCTTTCTTACTTATTTTGAGTTCTAATATTCGTTGAAATCTTTTTAATGTCCCTCTGAAGATAAACTACTTAGAACTTTTTAATGTCTAGAATAACTTGAAAAGCTCATCTACGCCTCTACCGCCTTTCCATCGCTAAAAACTCATTGAGTAAATGGAGGAAATATTAGAAGACATTAAGGTGGCAATTTATTCAAGGCTTCCTATAAATATCGAAAACTATTACCATTTACCTATAAATAGTTTATTTTATAAGTTGTATGTCAAAAATAACAGCCGACCTGCTATCCCACTTATCAGCTTTAACGAAATCCAAACATAGTTAATCATTCCAAAAAAAAACCGACATAAAAAAATATTCGTCACAAAGAAAACAGCACTGAAAATAGAATCACGCAATTTCCATTCATGTTTTCCGCCAAACAAAAAAAAAACAATAGAAAAACCCCGACAATAAACAAACAAAATAATCAATGACCTGTTCGTTCCTCAATTATTAGGAAAGGAGGGGAAAGGGGACTACTTTTTGCTTTGCTCTCAAAATTCAATTTTAGTTTCAGTTTTGTTTTACTTACTGCGTTGTATTTCCGAAGCCGAAGCCAACAAATCATTGTTGTCATCATCCAACATGTTGCTGTTCGAATGGTGGTTCGATGGTCGGGTTGAATGTAAAGTATGCAATGCCTCCCTTTTCTATGGAAGCTGCCTCTCGCTAACGCTTGTGATTTAATCAATTATGTGACTGAGTCCCACAGTCCCCCCAGCAGAAGTATGGCAGGCAGGCAGATGGAGGGGAGGATGGATGTATGGTTGTAAGATTAATAGTTGGCTGGCGTTTTATGGTTGTCAATAAAATTCAATTGATGACGTCATGTGGTTGAATAATGATGTCGTTTTCCCAGTGTGCAGGCGGATGTGAGGAGTCTTTCTTTCTGCCACAGGCCACAAATGTTTGAGCAAAACGAAAAAATAGGTGGCAGCACGCTAGGCATGCAACAACACAGAAGTTCAGCAACAATCCAGACACTTGTTAGGCTTTTCCAAAAGGGGAAGGTAGAGGTACGTTTGATTTTGTTTGACTGCAATTTTAAGTACTTGAATTTTTTTTCCTGCTTCAAATTTTGGGATTTTACAACGTCGTTTAGGGCTGGAATTTCATCTATTGTTCGAGTCGATCTCCGCCAAACTATAATTTACCAAAAATCTATCCCAGACTATGTGTCATTTACACGTAATTTAGATTTTATCAAAATTGCCAGGTTTTATCTCCACGCAAGCATCAGGATTCACAACAGGCAAAAATAGATCTGGAATTAAAAAAAGAAAACAATTTTTATTAAAAATATTTAAAAGAAAATTAAATAATTATATAAATACAGGGTGAGATGAAAAAACTGCAACCAACTTCAGACTGCTGTCATATCTAAGCCACTCGTCCGACAGCTGTTAAAATTATTCCAGTGACAGCCCATTATATTGTTTACAAGCGTAAAAAAACATTTTGGTGAGAATTTTCCAGAAAAAAAGTTATTCGTGATGAAATTCAAGCGTGATAGTGTGATTTCTTTATATTTGGCTGGAAAACCGCAAGTGGCTATCGTTAGAGCACTCCATCATTTAAATGTGAATAAATCTTTTGTGTCTCGTGCCATTGCTTCTTACAGTGATACTGGTAGCGTAGCCCGATGTCAAGGAAGTGGACGGAAGAAAACAGCAACATCAGCAGAAATGGTTCGAAAGGTAAAGAAGGGACTTGATCGAAACTCGCGTCGCAGTGGCCAAAAATGGCTCGTGAGCTGAATATATCGCAATATTCCATTCGGCAAATATTGAGTTATGAGCTCGGGGTAAATCCATTGAAGTTCCAAAAAGTGCAAGAACTTAGACCGCAATAGAAAGAAAATAGACTCAAAAGAGCTAAAGAGTTGCTTCGCTTGGCCGAAAGTGGTGAACTGCCAAATTTGGTTTTCTCCGATGAGAAAACATTCGTTATCCAGGAAAACTTTATCCGCTCCGGATAAGGTTTTTCGTATAGGAAAACTTTATCCGCTCCGGATAAGGTTTTTCGTATAGGAAAACTTTATCCGCTCCGGATAAGGTTTTTCGTATAGGAAAACTTTATCCGCTCCGGATAAGGTTTTTCGTATAGGAAAACTTTATCCGCTCCGGATAAGGTTTTTCGTATCGGAAAACTTTATCCGCTCCGGATAAGGTTTTTCGTATAGGAAAACTTTATCCGCTCCGGATAAGGTTTTTCGTATAGGAAAACTTTATCCGCTCCGGATAAGGTTTTTCGTATAGGAAAACTTTATCCGCTCCGGATAAGGTTTTTCGTATAGGAAAACCCTTTATCCGCTCCGGAGAAGGTTTTCGTATAGGAAAACCCTTTATCCGCTCCGGAGAAGGTTTTCGTATAGGAAAAACCTTTATCCGCTCCGGATAAGGTTTTCGTATAGAAAAAACGTTATCCGCTTCGGATAAAATTTTCGTATAGAAAAACCTTTATCCGCTCCGGATAAGGTTTTCGTATAGAAAAAACCTTTATCCTCTCCGGACAAGGTTTTCGTATAGAAAAACCTTTATCCGCTCCGGATAAGGTTTTCCTATAGAAAACTTTATCCGTTCCGGATAAGGTTTTCCTATAGAAAACTTTATCCGTTCCGGATAAGGTTTTCCTATAGAAAACTTTATCCGTTCCGGATAAGGTTTTCCTATAGAAAACTTTATCCGGAGCGGATAAAGGTTTTCGTATAGAAAAACCTTTATCCGCTCCGGATAAGGTTTTCGCATAGAAAAACCTTTATCCGCTCCGGATAAGGTTTTCGCATAGAAAAACCTTTATCCGCTCCGGATAAGGTTTTCGCATAGAAAAACCTTTATCCGCTCCGGATAAGGTTTTCGTATAGAAAAACTTTATCCGCTCCGGATAAGGTTTTCGTATAGAAAACCTTTATCCGCTCCGGATAAGGTTTTCGTATAGAAAAACCTTTATCCGCTCCGGATAAGGTTTTTATATAGAAAAACCTTTATCCGCTCCGGATAAGGTTTTCGTATAGAAAAACCTTTATCCGTTCCGGATAAGGTTTTCGTATAGAAAAAACTTTATCCGCTCCGGATAAGGTTTTCGTATAGAAAAAACTTTATCCGCTCCGGATAAGGTTTTCGTATAGAAAAAACTTTATCCGCTCCGGATAAGGTTTTCGTATAGAAAAAACTTTATCCGCTCCGGATAAGGTTTTCGTATAGAAAAAACTTTATCCGTTCCGGATAAAAATCTTTATCCGCTCCGGACAAGGTTTTCGTATAGAAAAGCCTTTATCCGCTCCGGATAAGGTTTTCGTATAGAAAAACCTTTATCCGCTCCGGATAAGGTTTTCGTATAGAAAAACCTTTATCCGCTCCGGATAAGGTTTTCGTATAGAAAAACCTTTATCCGCTCCGGATGAGGTTTTCGTATAGGAAAACCTTTATCCGCTCCGGATGAGGTTTTCGTATAGGAAAACCTTTATCCGCTCCGGATAAGGTTTTCGTATAGAAAAACCTTTATCCGCTCCGGATAAGGTTTTCGTATAGAAAAACCTTTATCCGCTCCGGATAAGGTTTTCGTATAGAAAAACCTTTATCCGCTCCGGATAAGGTTTTCGTATAGAAAAACCTTTATCCGCTCCGGATAAGGTTTTCGTATAGAAAAACCTTTATCCGCTCCGGATAAGGTTTTCGTATAGAAAAACCTTTATCCGCTCCGGATAAGGTTTTCGTATAGAAAAACCTGTATCCGCTCCGGATAAGGTTTTCGTATAGGAAAACTTTATCCGCACCGGATAAGGTTTTCGTATAGGAAAACTTTATCCGCTCCTGATAAGGTTTTCGTTAGGAAAACTTTATCCGCTTCGGATAAGGGTTCGTATAGGAAAACTTTATCCGCTCCGGATAAGGTTTTCGTGTAGAAAAACCTTTATCCACTCCGGCTCGTATACTTTTTTATTAAATTTGATGTCCACATAATCTCATCCACTTGACAAAGATTTATGCGAATAACACTTGTTGCTCTTCAAAATTATTATTTGCATTGCTGATTAGCATCAGCATTTGGTATTGGTCATATTCGAAAAAAATCTTAGCTAATGTGTATAAGTCCATATACAAACAGAGTTAAGCTAATGATCTGTGTATTACTGTTGTCGGTGTTGTTATTGAATGGATATCTATTCATTGTCTGCTTTGGATTTGACTGAGTGGGAGGGTATATTATGCTAAGCAATAAATTGTTAATCATTCATTGGATCTTGGGTGAATAGGGAGGTGGGGGAGGGTCTACGAACACCTTTGCATGTTAGTATGGCTATGGTGGCAGATAGTTAGTTTCAAGTACGCACAACATCAGCCATGTTCGGAATGATGCATCTTTTTCGAATGTGGTGTGCGAGGGTGTGTTTGAACTTGAAAATTAGCAATGATTTCGAATATTGAGGGAGGCAGAGAAATTATTAAAATGCTTGTTCGACATTTACATTTCGTTGAAAATTGCATTCATGCTTCGAGAGACTGAACTCCTACGTGCTCATATTCTAACTATTCGATGGGTTTCCATTGAATTTTTAAAAAATTACAATTCTGAGATTTGGTTTTCCATTATCAGATCCAATCGGAATTTATTTAACTATTACGTTTTAATTTTGTAAAAATATGAAATAATCACATCATGTAAAAACTATGCAGAAAATCTAATCTGATGTAAATCGGACCCTGATATGACGGCACAATTATTGACAACTGTTCTTAGCAAAAAACTAGAATTCACGAAGCAATTAATTGCCAGTTGACCACCAATCTGGTTTAATTACTTCTTAATAGGTGCTAAAGCGTTTATGGTGGATAATAAGATTTGTAATAATTGACAATAATTTTTGTGGCTGGAAGATAGAAAAAATGCATAGCACCAAATGGGAAAATGAAAAAAAAAAAAACGAGAGACATTTTTTCAGGAGGGACTATCTGAGCTACAGCTAAACAAAATTTTATGAATAATTTTCAAAATGACCATCGTTTATTTTCTAAGAATATTTTAAGAAGGCTTCCGGAGAGATGATTGCTTATTTCTTCAAGAATATTTATAAGGTACCATTGCGGATTTTCCAAAGTTTATTTTCGGAAGTTTCTTTGTACACATTTTATGAATAATTGGGTGGCCGGCGGGATTTTTTAAAAATATTTTCTGAGAATTTTCCAGGCATTTTTTTAAATATTTTTAAGGTTTTATTGAGGATACATAACACTAAATAAGAAAATGAGAACGGGGAAAAGTTAAAAAGTATCAATCGGCATTGCCGACAGATGTATACCCACAGCCAATGTTTAATTATTTCAATATATGTTGACTTCTGTTATGATTATTCAAATTGTTGATTATTCAAATTGTTGTAGTAGGTTCCGAAGGAATGGGCCAATATTATCCATTATTATCGGACCTAAATAAATATGACCAAAATAGTACGACGTGCCAGATTTGGACTATATCGACTACTTCCTTCACTTTATATGAGATATGTGATAATTTTTATAGTCGACAGAAGTATTCCATTTTCATACTTCATTTAATACCCTTAAAAAATTTTGATATGGGAAATCGAACATTTATATCCAATATTTAAAATCTAAAAATTCATATTCATCTCAGGTTTCTAGACATATTTAGAAAAATCAAGTTGTAAAGAATCGCCGACTTGTTTCACAAGTTGCGACAGATAAAAGTATTGGAAATTGTGACCCTTTGCGGGTACCCGAAGGTACAACAAGGGGTTCGCAGATATATATATCATCTTCACAACAGATCTCGTGTTAGCCAACAAGTTTTTGTGAAATTTGAAGAGAGTTGGATGCATATTTCTCATTCTTATGTTTTTCAAAATCTTGAACCCCATGTGGGGGAGGTACCAGAAGAAATGGTCCGATCTCTACCGTCTTTATAACAGATCTTGTGTTGATAGAAATATTCATATGTGCCAAGTCTAAATGGAATCGGATGTTAATTTGGAGTTTTATGAGCTAAAAATTTTTACCCTTTCTCGGGAAGGTACTAGAAAGAGTGGATTTATATATTCCATGTTAACACCAGATCTTGGGTTTATAAAAATATTGGGACGTGTGAAATTTTAAGACGTTCGAAACCTTACATCACATTTTATAAGAGTTATAATTATTCAAAATGTTGACCCTTTGTTGGGGGAGGTACTTGATGAAATGGACTGATACTTTCAATTTTCGCACTTGACCTAGAACTGTCGTAAATAATAGGATTTGCA